CACACCTGCTGCTCACGTGCAAACCCTGTGCCTGTGTTATCACAGCAGCACAGGTCCCTTCGGCCGGCCGCATCCGGATCCCTCCCCCGACGGGCGAGATTTTTTTAAAGAGCTAATAGGAAGCATTTCACCAAGATGCCACACTCCCAAGGAGGGGGTGAGGGCAGGGCTGGGGAGAGGCTGATAAGCCCTCGGCAGTTTGTGGTGCCTGAGAGCCGGAAACTGCAGCCAGACCGCAGCCTCGGCCCTGAGCTGGAAGGGGAGCTGGTGCTGAGGAATAACCCTGTTTTGCATCTGGGATCCTCAGGCCCAAGGGCAAGGCTCCAGCAGGCAGCTGCTCTGGACACAGGACACCCCCGTCTCCAGGCTAACATCAGTCGGCTGGACCACCGCAAGCTGAGTGGGAGGTTATGCAACTATCCGAATTACTGCCATGAGGCATGCGTGCTGCATGGAAGGAAGCAATGCCCAGTCCAAGGAGAAGAAGACAGTGCTGTTGCTATGGCTGGTACATCCCAACACCCCCGTCTACACACACACACACACACACACACACACACACACACACACACACACACTTACACACACACACACACACAGGGGCTCTGAGAAGCCTCTGGCCCTTCCTTCCTCCCCTCCCATCATCACAGCGCTGGGGCCAGCCTGTGTCTCTCTCTCTCTCACACACACACTCACACACACGCGTCCTTGGGGTGCTCATCCCAGGGTGTGGGTTTAAACAGCAAGGAGTTACCGGGGTGTGCAGTGGGAAGGGCCCACAGCTTGGAAATGACAGGCCTACACCTGAATCCAGGCTCTGCTACGTCCTGACTACACGCCCTCCTGCAGAACCGGAGTGCCAGCCTGTTAGGGGGATTGCTGTAAAGACCGAAGGCAACGAAGACAAAGGGGCCCATCCTGGTACAACGATGCAGGCCTGGGAAGCTGCACTCAGCCTCCCAGACAGTTCCCCATCCCTGTTGTGGGGGAGGGCATGAGGAGGGCGTCAGTGTTCTTTGTAGCTGAGTCCTGTGCACGCTACACTACAACAAGCGAATGCATTCTCCATCCCAGGGGCAGAGGCCAGGCCCCAAGGCCAGCAGCCTGGGTTCGCAGCTCGGTCTTTACCGTCGTATGTGGAAACCGCCTGTTGTCTTCCCTGGCAGAGAGGTGTGGACAAGGAGCCCGGAAGGCTGGTGACCTCTGAGCCCCTGCGAAGATCAGAGCTGTGCACCCACTGTTTAGTGGAGACAACGGTAACTGAAGCAACTTCCCTACCAGACAGTCATGTAATTCCTTACCGATAAGATACCCTGTTAGTGGAAATTGCCTGCCTAAGGGCTACAGGTGTATCCCAAACTGAATAAAAGGATGCCAAGGCCTGAGCCCAACGCAGTCGTGAGCTGGGCTCCTGCCTGTTCCCCAATATTTCCGTATTATCTCTTGTCTTGTCTCTCTCATTTGTGTGCAGTCCCTCTTCCAGAGCCTGAACCATGTGGGATATGAGTCAATCATGTGACCACAGGCAAATCAGGAACACCTCCTGTTTCCTCGTTGGTAAAAGGGAGACAATGGTGTTCATCTGGAAGGATTGTCACAAGAATTAAACTAATATAGATACAGCAGAGTCCTGACACAGTGCCTGCCACTCAGAAGGTTCTTTCCAGCTTCAGAAAAGGAACTGCTCAAAATGCCCAAGTCCTATATATAATAAAAGCCTAATATGCTAAGTGTCTGGTCAACCTGTTGGCTGTTCAACCAATCAAAGCATAATATGCTAATGATATGCTAAGGCTGCTCAACCACTTGTTGTGATGTGCACTGACCACCAGGAGGCAGATGCTCTGACTGGTAGGTTAGCTTGCTGCTAGGGTCCGGCCAATTAGGACTGAGCAAGATGGGCCAGACATGCCCTGGAGTCCTCCCTCAGTCCTCCCTGGTCTGCCAATCTCCTACATCTCTTCCCTAGCCCCAATCATGCACCAGTGGGGTCTCTCGGCCCAGCCTGCACCCTCTTGCAATCCGGGATCCCCTCAGGGGATGTCAGAAAGGCCGAGAGACCAATGGTGCACGGATTTATGTACTGAGCCTCTAGTATCATATAGAAACCCTCTCTGCTCCTAGTTTCACATATCCCACACTCAATTTGCAATCTCGAATCTAAGGCTCTTCATACATGCCGACGGAGCATTGTCTAAACTCTCTGGAAATGCCCATGGAGGCTTAGTGCCCAATGACAGACCAGGCACAGGCCCTCTCCTCTTCCCCCATCACACCCCTTGTCTCCTTGCCTGTCCCACCTCCGTTTGGAGCATATTCAGTCTCTCCCTCTGGCTTTCTCACTTCTCTCCTAAGCTGCAGAGTTCCATCTCTTTCATTTCCATCTGCTTGGCTGCTATCAGCTCCCTTTCTCCACCGAAGCCTTGGAAACATCTGATTCTTGGGTAGCTGGGCCTCCTCGTGTCCTCCCTTCATTGCACAGGAGGCACAACCCTGCACCCCTGAAACTGCCTCTTTCTGTGTAAGCCAGTCTCCCTGCTAGCAGCACCTCAGGCCTCTCATCCTGAAGGCTCTGTGATGTAGTTTCCTCCTCCAAAAGCTTGGCTTTGTCCCCCCAACCCTCCCGGCCGGTCCCTCTTCCTCCTTTCCCCGTGCTGCCCCTGACAGCCCAGGCGCTCCAACTGGATGCAGGCCTCGCTGGCTCACACCTGCCACTCCCAGCCGCTCAACCGTTACCAGATGCTCAACTGTGCTTCTAGCTGCAGATCTCGGCCAGCCTCCAGCCCGATCCAGGCGAACCTTGGCGGGAGTGGGCTCGGGTCCACGCCACCGCACACAGCGAGCCCTGCAACCAGCGAGATGCAATCTTCCTGCCGGGAGAAGGCCTTGCCCCTCGTTTGTGAAAAACCCAACAGCTGTGAAGGGCGAATGACCGAGCTGCTCACCCCCGGAAGGTGGTCCGTGACAGCCTTACTGCCACCCACCTCAGGGCTCAGGCCCCCGCCAGGCAGACCTCATCTAATAGCCTGGGGGCTGGGAGAGGTTCCTCCCCAGCAAACCTAGAAAACGTTATGCCACTCTTTCTCCTTTAAGTATTATAAAAAAAAAATGTTTCTTCTTTTGTCTTCATTCATCTGCTAACTCTCAACATTTAGAAAACATTTTGTAGCTGAAAAGCAAGGTAAATCAGGCCTTGCCTGTCTCTAAAAACACAGAAAGAAAAAGAACAGGACTGAGCTCACTGCTTAAGTTAATTTCAAGATTTTCAGCTTGATTAATCTGTTTTTATTTTTTTTTATTTCACTTTTAATGCAGTCCTTACAGCACATTTGAATTGTTTACACGGTTATTATTGAAGAAAAATCCCGAGGTCACTGATTTTGTTCCTGTTTCATAAAATAGCCATTTCTATGCTTCCCATTGGGAATCCTTCCCCCCGCCTCTCTCTCACCTGCTGATCTGGAGGTGACTCACCCCCCACTGAAGATAATTTGCTTTACTGATTTTGATGAAATTCAACAATTAAATCACCACTCAATTTCCCAAGCACTAAAATAATCTCAGAAACTTAAAAAAAAATTATTTAAATGAAAAGTATTACCTCCCCAAGTGGAAAATGTATTTGAGTTGTTACAAGTAAATATTAAAGTTATAACGAGCCACAAAATCATATTCTTGTGTAAGACAAATGAAATATTCCTGATTAACAAATCTAGTTTTACAGAAATTAATTCAAATTGTATGGAATAGGTACAGGTCTCTACCACAACATAAAGGTCTTACTTTGTTCTGAATTCACCAACTGCTAACCAGAGGCGGTGGGTTTGTGTCTTACGGACTCCAGACGCAGCCAGAGCGACTGCACTGCACCCCCTGACAATCCGCCCAGCTCAACGCCCGGCCAGCGATTCCCCTTCAGCCTGTTTCTCTGTCACCAAAGCTGGGACCTCTCCTAGGTGGTTGGCGACCCAGAGGAGTGATCCCTTTTCTGTCTGCAGTTCCCACACCAGCCATGGGGGTGACTTAGGGACCACTGCACTTCACCTGCCTGAAGGTTCATGACTTCGGAAGGTTTGACAAATCCGCCTACTGGCTATTATTCTTTGCTGCAGTGACAACTGTGCTCTAAGACAAACAGCGCATTCTTAGGGGAAAACAGTTAATTCAGCCATTAGGTGTGCTCCCCAGCAGCCCTGTTCACATGGGCACATCCTCCGACAGCGGCTTACGCAAGAGCACAAGGCGTGCCCCAGCACTGAGTGAGTGTGCTGTCTTTAACGGAACCCTCACTCTATTGCATTGCTTCCGAGTGTGTGTGTGTGTGTGTGTGTGTGTGTGTGTGTGTGTGTGAGTGTGTGTGCTTAAGCTGGTGAAATCTTTCTAAGCAAAAAGATGATTAATTCTTCCCCTTGCCTTTAAAACCACGTTCTCATGACAACCTCTTAGCCAATCCCCTAATCTAACTTGGAAAAAAACAACAACCACGATAACACACTTTTAAAGCAAGTTATTCCCGGGACTTGAGAGTTTCACAGCCTTGGACGAGGTCAGCTTTTAGGGACATCTGAACAAAACTCATCTGTCTTAGGGCACCCCGCTAGTCCTACATAGATGGAAGCACTTCCAGCAGTACGCATTGTGAAATTTCTGTATGGCCCACAACTCACAATATGGATCTAATTAGGCCCAGCTGCCTTACGTTAGTACTAAAATTGGAGAGAGAGAAGGGAGAGGAGAGAAGAGAATAAAGGGTGAGAGTAGGGGCTTTGTTCATTCCCCCCTGTGCCCGGTGATCACCAGCAGGTCCTGAACATCCCCAAGGCTCATTCAGGCAACACACGCCTCTTCACCACCCCGCAGCCCCGGCCTCGATCGCGCTGAAACTTCACTGCGGAGCTCGCCCAGCCCTGGGAGAGATTCACGCACCGACCGACCGGCCCTCCCCACCTGGGACCCCCTCTCCTCCCCACCCCCCCAACCCCCCGGGCCCCGGGACTCACACGAGCGCGGACGGGCAGGGCGCCTGGCTCCAGGGGCAGTTGTACTGAGCCTGGATGAAGCTCTCGCTGCCCTCCTGCACGGAGCAGGTCACGTTCCTGTTCACGATGTAGGCGCACCAGTTCCTGGGGCGGAGAGAGGGGAGGGCGGCTGTCAGCCCGGGGCCGGGGAGACGCACGGGCAGCAGATGGGGCCGGAGAGGGAGGTCGTGCCCGCCGCGGAGGCGGGAGCCCCGCCAAGCCGGCCCGGGAAGGTGCGCGGGCCGCCCGGAGAGCCGGCACTTTCCCCTAAGAGAGACGGGACGGAAGCCCCGGGCCCTAGGATCCCCAGGGGTCCCGAGAGGAGGGTTCGGGTCCCTCTGCTCTGCGGGACGCCCGGGGGGCTGCGCTCCTCCAGGCGCCGGCGAGGCCCCCGGGACCCGGCGCGGACCACGGAGCGCGCGGCCGCCGGCAGGAGGCGCCCCCCGGGGGGACCCCGGTGCGGCGCATCCTCTCCGCAGGGCGGTGTCGGGGTGAAGGCGGGGGCCCTGGGCGCTGAGAAGTGGCCTCGTCGTCCTGCGGGCGCAGAGGGGGGGCCCACACTTACTTGTTCCTGGCGCCGGGCCGCGCGGGGGGCCGGGGCTGCGGGCCGGCGTGGCACAGCCCCGCGCCGCCCAGGGCCAGCAGGGCCAGCGCCCAGCGCCAGGGCGCGCGGGGCCGGGGCCACATGGCGCGGGCGGCGGGGCCGGAGCGGGGCGCGGAGTGAGCGGGCTGCGGGGCGCGGCCGCGAGGGAAGCAGAGGCTCGGGCCCTTGGCCGGCGCCCCCTCCGGCTCCGCGCACCACTTCTCCTTTCCCAGCCGCGGGCCGCGGTCCCTCAATGACGCACCGGTCCCCCCGGGTGCCGCCCTCCGTATTTCACTTCCCGCTCCGGAACGTGACTCTGCCTCCGCCACGACTCCCTGTCTCCAGCCCGCCGGCCCCGCGGCAGGGGGCTCGGGGTGAAAGGGCCAAAGGGCCGGGGAGCAGGGTCTGCGTTGCAGCATTTCCCATTACTCATTCCTTTGGTCTCTGCCCAGGAGCCGCGCCCCCCGCCTCCCGCCTCCCCGCGGGCGCGCCCCGGGCCCCGGGGAGGCGGCCCCGCCGGCGCGGCGCAGCCCGCACGTCGAGCGGGGAGCCCGGGTGCCGGCCTCCCGGGGAGAGCGGGGACGCCGTTATCAGCGCTTTATCACAGGCGACTCGGATTTCCCCCGCTGGCAGGACGCGGCCGTCCCCCCACGTTTGGGTTTAGGAGCGCTTGGGGGCAGATGAACGCGGATCCTCGTCTATTTCTTCACCCAACGCGGCCCCATCATCCACGTAACGGTTTCCAAGCGGCCGCGCGGCGCCGCGGGGGACCGGCCGCCTCCCCGAGCTTCGCAGGCGCCTCGCACTGACCTTCCCTGGCCACCCGGGCTCCGCTGCCGCCGTCCTCCTCTGAACTTCCTTCTTCTGTCCACATGAAAGCCATTCACTCCACCACAGTCGATCTGCTTCTTCTTCTTTTTAATAATAAATCTTTATTGTTCAGATTATTACAGGTGTTCCTCTCCGCCCTCCCCCCCCCACCCCCCCACCCACAAGCTCCCCTCCACCTGATTCCCAACCCCACCCCATGCCCTTGCCCCCGCCACTGTCTTCATCTACACGTGTAAGATTTTTGTCCAATCTCTTCCCGTACCCCTCACGGCTAACCATGGCTTGTCACTTGCCTGCATGCATTCTTCCTATTCGGGAGTCACCCTCATCTTTACCAGTTTCTTGGGAATGAAGCAAACCCACTGAATAATGTGACATAAAATCCAGACCCGAGGGTGGTGTTCTTACATTGGAGTGTACCCGCTGCATCGAACGAACACTAGAGTGAGGTTATTGGCGTAGGGTAACTGTAATAACCACGAGCTGTCATGACGCTGATGCTGCGAGTTATGGGGACAACCATAGGCTTTGCTGTGGTCCCTGCACCACAACATGAGGCCCTTGGCCCGTTTCATTTCTAATATGTTTTGAAGGGGGAAGCTGGCCTTTTGATTTGCAAATGAAAGAACGTTCCCTCGGTAGAAACTTTGCAAGATCCAAGCAGAAATGACACCATGTAAGGACATGGTCTGCCTATGAACTCTCTAAGTGGCAGAGCCTGCCAATAATGCCAATCCTGAAGTCATCCCAGCCTTCAAAAGAGCCACCCCAAGGGGAAAAGAACGGAAAGGGACAAGAAGCCGTCTTGCATAACCAATCTCTGTTTTTCTGTGAGGCTGCACTGTCGTCCCCATCCTAACACGATGTCTGGTCACAACGTGTCCTAGGGAGGAAATGAAGGAGAGGGACAGCAGGGGGGGGGGGGGATGGAGGAAACACACAGGTGTGTGTATATCTAAAGTGAACAGCTAACAATCCCAGCTTCAGTACAGATAATTCTCAAACTCGAGTGAAGTTGAACTGATCAAGTCAAATCTATTTTTTTTACCCATTGAATCCAAGTTAGAGTAGGAAGTGATATTCTAGCTCCAGAATTTGAGGACCAACTTCTCATGGGGAGGACCACAAACTCTATTTAATCATCTATAAATCAGTAAATAAATTTTATTCTGCACATCAGGGCATTGTGCACAGACACTTGAGGATTGTCCCACCTGACGTGGCTCTGTGCTGACCAAGCCTCTGTGAGCTCCTGTGCACTGAAGGGTGTGACGTTTCCGATGTGCAGTCATTACGTGAGTCATGGCTGTTACAGACATGCCCTCGTGTCCCCGTGTGGGGCTGCTCTGGGAAGATGGAAGAAGACTCTTGGCTCTCAGGCCAAGACCCCAAGAGACTCTCTTCCCTTCCTCTCCTCTTGCCAAAGGAAGAGACAGGGCACACGGAGGAACCAGAGCTCCCCCCCCCCCCCCCCCGAGCTTCCTGAGGATGGAGAGCTGACTCGCCTTAGGAAACAGGCTGATGTGGGCAGGTCATCTGGTCCCAGCCACAAGCAACAATGTGGACATAAATGGCAGAACGCTGGAAGTGTGGATTGCTCATAAGCTGCCCACAAGCCTTTGAAAAGGCAGTTTCCTATAACAATCTAAAGGAACTTCTGCTTTTAAATAAAAAGTGCCCCATAGTGACTTACACTCTTAATTGTATGACCAACTTACCTAAAGCAAAAACACAAAGTAGAACTGCTCCATAACCCATTCCCTCACTGTTGGTCATGATAAAAGATGCTCATCAGGCTGAACTTGGGGGTACCCTGTTTCCCCGAAAATAAGACAGTGTCTTATATTAATTTTTTCTTCCAAAGTTGCGCCAGGTCTTATTTTCAGGGGATGTCTTATCTTTCCATGCGCTAGGTCTTATTTTCGGAGGATGTCTTATTTTCGGGGAAACAGGGTACTTCTCGAGGAGCAGTGAGCCTGCTGGGCCCTATCCCCGCCCCCAGAAGGGGGAAGGAAGGGCGATCCTCACGGAGACAGCAGACGGGATGTTTCCCCCATCACCACGCTCAGTCATCTGGGCACAAGACACTGGCTCAAGATGAACAGATTTTGCATCTTGGATGTGCTCAAGCCTTTAAGACTTGCCTGGGTGTCCCACCCTTCTCTCTCCTCATCTTTGCTTTGACATAGGAAATGCCCAAACCTGTGGAGAATTTTTATGAGTTTGACTCCAACTGCTCACAGCTGCTAGGAATCAAAATCTCAACAAGTTGAGAAAACACTCTGGAGGAGGGCAGGCTTGCAGTCCATTTTATGCATTGCGATCAGAGGAGGAGGCGTAGGGAGGGTGACATGAAAGCCAGTGCCCGTAGATGGAGGCCGATGGAGAAAGCAGAGCGGGGAACCCTGGGCTTGGAGAAGAAGTAAAATGGAGAGACACAGAAGACACACACTTCTTTCACATCGGTGGGCACAGGGTGGCTGACTGACATTCACAGCACGCAGACATGGCTGTGCAGGGAAGCAGTGCGGGGTTCGGTGGCCTGCACCTGGGTGTGGTGGGTGATTTTAGCCCCGTTTCTTCCTCCCGCTCCCCGTGAGAAAGCACGCAGCTCAGCTCACTGCTCAGGAGCATTAATAACTCCACAGAAACAAATGCAGATCATCGGACAATTGAACCATGAATATCTTCTTCCTTAAAAAGATGAAATTAGTTACTAATTCCATATCACTTAATTTTTCCCAGATGTTTCTTCATTCTAAGGCTGCTCCCTAGAACTACAAGCCAAATATTACATTTGAGAATTTTTTTGTTGTCACACTTATATGATTCTGAACACTTTTTTTTTCTTTATAAGGAATAACTGACAAAAATAGGCTCTAAGAATATGTTTGTTTCTTACCAAGAAGCTACAATAGCTTAGGCAATAATTCTTCATCATGGCAAGCCCCTTCAAACTATGTTGTAAGTTCATCATTTATTTTTGGAATGGGAGTTGATTGTTCTGGAATCAAAAACCTGTTTTATACAGGCAGAATGAGTTTGATGATTTTGAGTTAATCAACTTTAGCACAATCTTGGCCCATGCTCATTAGAATAATATTCATGAGCAAATATAACTCTCCCCAGTAGTTCAGGTTGTGCGGCTCTAAACAGTGGTCTCAGTATTTAACCCAGTCAATCCCCATTATTTAGCATAGTATGTTCTATAAAGTTGCTGCAAACACTGAATTAGTGAATGCTATACATTGCTTCTAGGGGAAATACAGGGCAGTTCCTGTAAACCTCTGGTCACAATAGTTTTGTTAACCAATCAATACATAATCCTGTTTTATATGTATTTCTTACTATATGTTGTTGGTTCATTAACATTGAACTCATGGCTAATACCACTGCAAGTCACACTTAACTTGCAAACGTATTTTCTCCATAAGGCACATCACAGCCTTCTTGTGCTTAGAAACTCCAGACAGCACTTCAGCACTGTGACGGAGGCCATTTTAAACAGCGAAATGACTCACAAAAAGCACGAGCACGAGAAGAATGCCTGTTGACAGCACAGGAGCTAAACAAGAGGCGGAGCCTCGCCTTGCTGGACGTCAGCTGGGAACGTGTGCAGCAGGCAAGTCAGGTTTCTCCCATGGCCACTGAGGAGCATGAGCGTGCTGCAGTACGTGCTGCTTTTGAATAAAGAATAATGAATAATGAGAATCAACTGTATTTCAACTGTATTTCCCATTGGAAACAACGGGAAAATGATATATTTGGGGAGATAAGAAGTTCTTTTTTAAAAAGAAACATTTTACTGATTTTTTACAACGAGGAAGGGATAGGGATAGAGTCAGAAAATCAACTAGAGAGAAACATCGATCAGCTGCCTCTTGCACACCCCTTACTGGGGATGTGCCCACAACCAAGGTACATGCCCCAACCGGAACTGAACCCGGGACCCTTCAGTCCGTAGGCTGATGCTCTATCCACTGAGCCAAACCGGTTTCGGCAATAAGAAGTTCTTGAGGTTTTGTGGCCACCCAAAGATTTGTTTTGTTGGGAGCATATTGAGGAAGTTTTGCCTATTGAACACTATACCAGGCGATATGGAAGCCAGAGAAAAACAGATTTAGCTTTTTGTTATCTTAATTGACTGGGAAGCAAGGCACACGTGTTTGAAATGACTTCAGAACATGTACAAAGTTACATTTAGTAAATAGAATAGATAGCATTGTCCATGGAGCAGACTGACAGCTGTGGAGGGTAGGGGAGAGGGGAGACT